TTTGCAACGGAGAACACACAGCCGTCTCTCAAGACTGCCCCACCAGGCAGGAAGAAATAGCGAAAATGATCGACGCCAGACCTCGAAATCCTACTCCAAGAGTGAAATCTTTCAACATTCAAGCAGAAGCCTTCCCAGCACTCCCGACAAGTGGCGCCGCGAGCGGCGCACAAGACAACTACTGGACCAGCAGCTCCCGCGCCAGCCACTCAAGGTCACAGACAACACCTCTCAACCCAGCCAGCCAGCCGTCCTCACTTACGCCGCCTGCAGCCACCCCTGATAGCACTGTTGCAGCCCTGATACACTTCGCAACGGCGCTCTCAGGTGGAGATCTCCGACTACGATATGAATTACTCAAGGAACTATACAAGGAGAACAACCTACCCCCGTTTGTGATACCAGAGGCCATGTTCAACTCCTGCTCTACTACAACAGAGGCCAACCCTACACCAGCCACTCCTGCAAACCCGACTACGGCAAACGACAGCACCACGACGGCTTCTCAACCGATCTCAACATCTGCTGAACCATCAACTGTCATCGCACCTGAACCCAAAGTGACTACCAGCATAGCAGCCCCGAAAATGTTCAACCCATACACTACTGTCATGAGTTTTGTCGAAGAAAACACCGACCCGAGAATGCAAGAATTCCACGTACCACTGCGGGACCCAGTATATGAACACGAGGACGGGGACGGCTGCGAATTGTCAGAATTCGACAATGAATCGGTCTCCCCAGTAAGCCTAGATGGTCTGCGATCCCCACGCAGATTCCTGATTCACGACCCCAAGGACACAGAAGAACCATGTCAATCCTGGACGTGGAAGCAGGAACAATAACGAAGAAGAAACACAGAAAACGGCGAGGAAACTGTTACCAGGGTAGTAACTGACATGAAAACCCTGATGTACAACAGCGTATGGCGAGCAGCAAGAGAAGAACTGAACGAATATAAAGTAGTGACAAGACCCACACCTTCACCAAACACGCCAACAGACCAAACTCCACGCAAGAGAACAAGGAAGAATAACAAGCCTAGCTTCAGCACCAGACTCGCCCGAAGGTAGCCGCCTTCACCCCCCCGCCTCTTTAGGGGTGTAGGGACCTAATTTGCTCGTTTTGAGGTGGTGGAACCCCTGCAAGCTTCGGAGCAGACCAACGTGCAAGACAGAAGACGGAAGACTCCAGCTTCAAAGAAGAAAGAAGACTTCAGATTCAAAGAAGAAAGAAGACTTCAACTCCTAAGAAGAAAGAAGACTCCACACGTCATGAGGAAAGAAGACCTCACACCGCCGCCCCTCCCTCGGGACCCTGCCAGCCAAGCCTAAGCCGACCAGGTGTTCAAGTAGCCTCATATTCAGCCGCGCAGCTGGGTCTAGCCCTGGACTATATCTCTACTACTCCGACGCTTCCTCTCACCCAAGCTATTCTTCACCTATACCCACTTCAAAGCTCACCCGAAGGGTCTCTTGTCCTATATTTAATTCGATTCGATTCGATTTTTAATCACTTCACACAACAACTTCAACACCATGACTGGACGCGGCAAGGGAGGCAAGGGACTCGGAAAGGGTGGCGCCAAGCGTCATCGTAAGGTGCTACGTGACAACATCCAGGGCATCACCAAGCCCGCTATTCGTCGCTTAGCTCGTCGTGGCGGCGTCAAGCGTATTTCGGGTCTCATCAACGAAGAGACCCGTGGCGTCCTGAAGGTGTTCCTCGAGAACGTCATCCGTGATGCTGTAACCTACGCGGAACACGCCAAGAGGAAGACTGTCACTGCCATGGACGTGGTGTACGCTCTGAAGCGCCAGGGTCGTACCCTCTACGGATTCGGCGGATAAGAGCTTGGCTAATCCATCGATTCCACCCACCACCACCTCAAAACGGGATCTAATTAGGTCCCTATACTTTTTTACTGAAGGGCTTAATAGACGATAACATAAATTGTTTTGATATCAGCTAGCACATTGGGTCCTATGAGATCTATTTTTTATCCTCGCATGCTTAAAGGGACTCTGATTGGGGAGGGAGGGGGGGGGGAAGGTTTGTTCCGTTATATACTAGCAGAGCAGGATCATTGGTGGTGGTGGTGGGGGGGGGGGGGGTGAGGGAGAGAGAGAGAGAGAGATCTTTCCCAACTCTTCCTTTTTACATGAGTGAGCTACCCGTTTTATTCATTTTATCCTTCTCAGAGCTGTTTTGATAGTATCCAAATGATGGTAAATGAAAAGGGAGGACACGAATATCTACCCAGAATTCAGGACTGGCAATCGATATGCATGTTTGAGTGCGAATCTTTTTCTCTCTCAACTTAGGTATACGTTTATGTCGTACCTAAAAGCGAGAACCACACTATTGGGACAAGTATGCAAGGCCCAATTTTCCTAACAAGCACAGTTAATTTTGTTATTTTCGAACATTTCTTTCCAAATTGGTTTATCCAATTAACAGTATTATATTAAGATCATGAATTGCTGGGTTAGGTTAGGTTAGGTTAGGTTAGCTTAGCTTAGGTTAGGTTAGGTTAGGTTAGCTTAGCTTAGCTTGGGTTAGCTTAGGTTAGGTTAGGTTAGCTTAGCTTGGGTTAGCATAGGTTAGGTTAGGTTTGATTACATTTCTATGTTAGATTTAACTCAAATTCAAAACAATTGCAGTCATTCGGCTTGTTAGTCAACTCGCCTCTAATAGGGGCAATTTGTCTAACAAGACTATTTAGTTTTGTGTGCAAATATATATATATATATATATATATATATATATATATATATATATATATGTCGTACCTAGTAGCCAGAACTCACTTCTCAGCCTACTATTCAAGGCCCGATTTGCCTAATAAGCCAAGTTTTCCTGAATTAATATATTTACTATAATTTTTTTCTTATGAAATGATAAAGCAACCCTTTTCTCTATGTATGAGGTCAATTTTTTTTTATTGGAGTTAAAATTAACGTAGATATATGACCGAACCTAAGCAACCCTACCTAACCTAACCTAACCTATATTTATAGGTAAGGTTAGGTTAGGTAGCCAAAAAAAGCTAGGTTAGGTTAGGTTAGGTAGGTTAGGTAGACGAAAAAACATTAATTCATGAAAACTTGGCTTATTAGGCAAATCGGGCCTTGAATAGTAGGCTGAGAAGTGCGTTCTGGCTATTAGGTACGACATATATATATATATATATATATATATATATATATATATATATATATATATATATATATATATATATATATATATATATATATATATATTATAGCTTCAAGACTCCGAACCAATATAGAAGCATCAAGAGGAAGTGCTTGTGTTATGGGCCAATAGGCCTTCTGCAGTTACTTCCATTCTTATGTTTTTATTCCCATTGGTTCGTGTTTTATCTTGTGTAAATGTCAATCACCTCACCCAAAACTTTGGTATCATATCACCTCACCCATGTATATATATATATATATATATATATATATATATATATATATATATATATATATATATATATATATATATATGTCGTACCTAGTAGCCAGAACTCACTTCTCAGCCTACTATGCAAGGCCCAATTTGCCTAATAAGCCAAGTTTTCATGAATTAATTGTTTTTCGACTACCTAACCTACCTAACCTAACCTAACCTAACTTTTTCCGCTACCTAACCTAACCTAACCTATAAAGATAGGTTAGGTTAGGTTAGGTAGGGTTGGTTAGGTTCGGTCATATATCTACGTTAATTTTAACTCCAATAAAAAAATATTGACCTCATACTTAATGAAATGGGTAGCTTTATCATTTCATAAGAAAAAAATTAGAGAAAATATATTAATTCAGGAAAACTTGGCTTATTAGGTAAATCGGGCCTTGCATAGTAGGCTGACAAGTGCGTTCTGGCTACTAGGTACGACATATATATATATATATATATATACATATATATATATATATATATATGTCGTACCTAGTAGCCAGAACTCACTTCTCAGCTTACTATGCAAGGCCCGATTTGCCTAATAAGCCAAGTTTTCCTGAATTAATATATTTTCTCTAATTTTTTCTTATGAAATGATAAAGCTACCCATTTCATTATGTATGAGGTCAATTTTTGTTTATTGGAGTTAAAATTAACGTAGATATATGACCGAACCTAACCAACCCTACCTAACCTAACCTAACCTATCTTTATAGGTTAGGTTAGGTTAGGTAGCCAAAAAAGTTAGGTTAGGTTAGGTTAGGTAGGTTAGGTAGTCGAAAAACAATTAATTCATGAAAACTTGGCTTATTAGGCAAATCGGGCCTTGCATAGTAGGCTGACAAGTGCGTTCTGGCTACTAGGTATGACATATATATATATATATATATATATATATATATATGTATATGTCGTACCTAGTAGCCAGAATGCACTTCTGGGCCTACTATGCTAGGCCCGATTTGCCTAATAAGCCAAGTTTTCCTGAATTAATATATTTTCTCTATTTTTGTCTTATGAAATGATAAAGCTACCTATTTCATTATGTATGAGGTCAATTTTTTTTATTGGAGTTAAAATTAACGTAGATATATGACCGAACCTAACCAACCCTACCTAACCTAACCTAACCTATCTTTATAGGTTAGGTTAGGTTAGGTAGCCGAAAAAGTTAGGTTAGGTTAGGTTAGGTAGGTTAGGTAGTCGAAAAACAATTAATTCATGAAAACTTGGCTTATTAGGCAAATTGGGCCTTGCATAGTAGGCTGAGAAGTGCGTTCTGGCTACTAGGTACGACATATATATATATATATATATATATATATATATATATATATATATATATATATATATATATATATATATATATATATAATATATATATATAATATACAGAGTAAATCTACCCCAAAAGTAATGATTATTTGTCTACAAAACTAAACTCTTTTTGGAATCATATGAGGCCCCTCCACTGAGGGGGGAGGCCTGGATGTTTATTGTCATGTGTATTCATGCTGCTTGCATGTCGTCGTTTATTTTGCCTTTGTTGTTTTCTTGACAGCTTTCTTTGCCTTGGGTGGTTTGGGAGATTTTGAAGCTCTCTTTATTTTGGGCTTTTTGTTCCCAACAACAAGCTGCTGCTGCTTCTTTTTCAAGGCTGTAGGTGGTTTGTTGCTTGTGGCGGCTTTCTTGGGAGTTACCACGGCCTTCTTTGTTGCTGTAGATGGTTTCTTGGTTATGGTGGCTTTCTTGGGAGTTAGAACGGCCCTCTTCTCTGCTACGGCCAGCTTGAATGATCCACTAGCTCCACTTCCCTTGGTCTGAACAAGAATGCCGTCAGCCACTGCTTTCTTGAGAAATCTTCGGATGTAAATGGCGATCTTGGCAGCCTCGACTTTGTTGTTGGCAACAACGTACTTCTTGATTGCTTGTAGAGACGAGCCCTTACGGTCTTTGAGTGCTGCGACCGCGGCTAGAACCATTTGACTAGTTTTCGGGTGAGCAACCTGGACGCGAGGTTTCCTGGTGGTGGCCACCACAGCAGCAGCCGCAGCCTTTGGTTCCTACCTATTTACAGTTCAAGTTCAAATATGTTTATTGAGACAAGAAAGAAATACATCTCAAAGCGATAGAGTAACTTAGGCTATTTCTACCCCTTCTACTTCAAGTCCCTCAAGGGGCGCACAAATTCAGTAAGTACAAATAGACAATTAACATTACAAGACTCCCATTTAACATTGCAGGTTAATATAGTAAGCACAGCATCTAATTGTTACACTCTTGGGGCAAAATTCTTGTAGCTCCTAAGTATACTGTCTGTCATACCATTATTACACATCCAAACAATTTGATGTGGTACATTACTTATTTCTATAGTTATCAATAAGTTGACACTCTAATACATAATGTTCTAAGGTGTGGGCGTGCGGCATACTACTTAATTTACACTCCTTATCTTTTTCACTGGCATCAACCCCGTATTGCCAGATATATGTGTATCCTAATCTTAATCTCATGTAAATTGAATCCTTCCAAGTAGACTTTCCTTTACCATAGGTGAAGGACGAGTTTGTATTTATTACTGAATAATTCTTAAGTGTGTTACTACTGTCCACTATTCCCATTCCTTTTATCATTTTTTCACCCTCTTGGATCATCTTGATTCTTGTTTTTATTTGTTTCAAGGTTAACTGACATACAACATCAACAAGAGTTTTTTTCCGTGGCTCTCTTCGCTATGTCATCAACTACCTCATTCAACAGTATTCCCACATGTGAAGGGATCAACATTAATCTTACTTTATACCCAGTTTTTTCTAATTTCTTAACATTCTCTCTACACTCTATCACAATATTCTGGTATACTGGGCGTCTGCTATTTAAAGACTCTAACGCTCCTCTGCTGTCAATAAAGAAGAAGGCATTTTTACCACATTTGACTACTTCCTGTAATCCTGCTAATACACCTTGGAGTTCAGGCTGCGTTGAAGAGACATTGTCAGTTAAGGGGGCGTCCAATAACAGTATCTACAGTGCCGTTGTCAGTGTACTCCCTGATCAAAACTCCACATCCTGCCTTCCCATCCCTAGCTACTGATCCATCACAATATACATGTAGAGTGTTTTCTGCAGGCAATTTCCTAATTATACAATTATATATTGCCCTCAGCTCTCCTATTTCATACATACTTTTTTTCTTTTGCAAAGGAGTAATTACTACATCTACGTTACAATCCTCCCATGGTGGTGTGATTTTTTTCTTGGGCACAGCAATACACTCTGTAATAACATCATAATTAATAACATTAGAACATAAGCTATTCATATATGCTCTTTTCTTCATCATACATTGTTCATTACTTCCCACCTTTTGAACCGAGAGGATTAATTCATTAGCTCCCACACCTCTCATTAATCTAATGGCAGAGGCTACATTTATCTCTGCAATTCTATCCCCAATACTCTGCAGATTCAACTCCATCCTCATTATCTCAATCATAGCATATCTTGGGCATCCTAAGATAATTCTCATGGCTTCATTTTGTACCTTCTCCAACTTGCCCATCCTACCTTTACCAAAACAAGAAATGACAGGTGCAGCATAATCAATAAGAGATCTTACAGTACTCAAGTATATCATTCGTAGCACAGGGACTCCCACTCCCTTTCCACAGCATGCCAAGGCCTTCATATTAACAGTGGGGCTCGGTCAGTCAATATGATTCCTTTGACATCACTCAACTTATGTATTCTGCTCTCGTATTGACAATTTTAATGATATCAAGAACATTTTTAATATCTTCTGACATAGATGGTGCTGTAGTTGATTGTTGTTCATGACTTGTCCAATGGGTCGAGACTGGTCTCATTAGCATCTCTCAGATTAGTGGGAAGAAATTGTTGCTAACTAGGGTAACTAAAATACTTATTTCCTTAATAAATACTTTAATTGCAAATATTTGAAAAAATATGGTATGTTTCAGAATTTCTGATGATATAGAACATATTGTGGTTTATAATTATTTCATTTTTGTTCTTTATTATGCACCCCATACCCATCCCGTGGGCGGTGGTATAAAGGGCTAGAGAGACACATAATTGGTTCAGGAAATGAACTCTCTAGTTCGTTTAGCTAAGCAAATAACAATCTTTAGACAAATAACACTTTTCACAATTATTAATGTTATATATACATGTACACATAATCATTTTTTTTTTATGATATATACAAGAGTTGTTACATTCTTGTACAGCCACTAGTACGCGTAGCGTTTCGGGCAGGTCCCTGGAATAAGATACCGTGCCGCGAAGAATCGTTTTTTCATCCAAGTACACATTTTACTGTTGCGTTAAACAGAGGCTACAGTTAAGGAATTGCGCCCAGTAAATCCTCCCCGGCCAGGATACGAATCCATGACATAGCGCTCGCGGAACGCCAGGCGAGTGTCTTACCACTACACCACGAAGACTACATACATGTACATATATATACATATGCGGAAAATCCAGAGAAATGAAATATGGAATTTTCCGCATACAAATGATCATTGTTTCATGATCGTCAATTGCATATATACATACACATACATATACATTCACATACATATTCAATCACCCACACAAATACACATATCAATAATCTTTGTATCACAAGTGATTCAACAAGAGGCTCAAAAGTCACTATACTAGGCACTTTACATCTATGGTGAGTCGTCCAGTTACTAGTCTTGCTCTACACCCACCCAACTGGGCAGCAGCTTAACAGTCATGTGCTCAAGAAGCCTTGTTTAAAATATGAATATTTTTCCTCTCTAATAAGGTATAATCTCTGTGATGCATTAACACAAACTATTTTATCTCTGCCTTTCTGATAACATATACAAATATAATCTTTATTTGTGAATATTTGTTAATTAAGCAATACATCAGAGAGCGTGTAGGATTCGGTGTTCTATGAACGAAAAGGACATGAGTAGTTTAAATAGCGAACACATACCAACGAATAACGCTAGTATCTATATAACAAATTTATTGTCATGTGGAATTGATTTAACTTCCAGACACTTTTTTTTAATAAATATTAAATATTTAGTGGCTGTTTATGGAAAATATTATTATAAACACACATTCTACTTGTTAATATCACCAATTAAATTTGCGACAATTTGAGCCATGAAATGCGACGACTGGATCACTGTGTACAGGAGGCTGATATGGCAGCAAACACTCTTCAGGCGACCATATATCTTGGATAAGTCGCTCCACGAAATTGTCGTTTGGACAGTCGACTTCCTATGGCGTCACCTCTCTCTCATATTTACGTCTAATTTCGTTATGAAATTAGATTATTTCAGAGTAAAAATAGGTTTGATCATGTTCTACGTGTAGCACCAACATTATAGTAAGTAAATATACCATATTTCTTCATTACTTACGTAATGCTAGGAGGATTTGTGTACTTTTGGGTAATTCTATGGATCGCCAAAACGCGTTTGTTTACAAAGGAGTGAACAACAGTGACGGAGACTTAGCGAACATTATTTAGCTCAGAACACCTTATCGAATTATCTTTATCACCAGTGAACACTCCCCCTAGAACAGGGGGAGTACCTGGACAATATCTACAACAAAAATTCCTAGAACATATATATCAAATAAGAGTGAAGAGTGGAGCACACAGTGACACTGTCACCACCTCCATCTTTATCAACTATAATCCTTCTACAACTGTAATTAAGGACAATCATGTAGCAATACTACTAGAACATCATACAGTAAAGCTGTGATATAAAATATCGTGCCTAAACTCGTGACAAGAGAGTTATCCAGTCTGGCACACTGTCAGACAGGCAGATAAGTATATTATATGTTTTTACAGTAGTTTATTAGTTGGCCAATTGTATGCTTGTATGACTTTAATATCCTATAAGTCTGTCTGTCGGTTATAAAGTGAGGCAACGCCTCATACTTCAGTAAGTTTATTAATATCGTTGTGCAGCAGTTGAATCTTTAAGCACCAAACCTCATGAGCGTCCATTGTGTAAGAAAAGATTCAGTCGCGATAAATAAACAAAACATTATGAGTGTCCATTGTGTGGGAAAAGATTCAATCAGGCTGACTGCACATTATCATATAAACTGAATATATCTGCATATACTTGAATATATAAATTAAGTTACCAATTGCTTACTTAGTTATTTTTAGTGATCATATAAGTTCATTTATTTGAATATAGTTTCTAGTACTTAGTTAACAGTACACAGACTACATTTAAGGTCATTTATCATACTTTTACAATTTATATTGTTGTTTATAGTATAAGAATACATTGGCTGTTAATAGTTGTGGTGCTAGGCTAGACTATGTACATGTTTAAATCTCTGATTTAAACAGAGCCAGTGTTCAGTCATTGAACTGAATTTATTAAATCTTCCTTGTATAAAATACAAGCTGATGTGAGATACCTGTTGGCAGGTGGACTGTGGATCTTCAATCAACCTATCAACTAATTCACCCCACCTGCCAGCTAGAGATTTTAGTTGAATCAGTACACTTCAGACCATATTTGTGGTCCTTCGTACCTAGATAATTATTCTTGAACCTAGATAGTCTAGAAATTAGATTATATTTCAATAGCAAATACATAAGGAACTTCTTGATTTTGCATTGGAATAATTTTTACATATTCTAACCTAACCTAGCTAACAGCCAATATTTATCATAGCTATATATCTAAGTAAACAAATTGTTTACATTGGCTTAAGCCACCATATCCATTACCTAGTAAGCATTCATAGCATACTAATACTGTTCTGTGTTAAAAAACCACAGTACTTAATTTTATCAGTGTCACAGACACAAGTGCATCTTAATCATATATACCATTATCTACCTCACTTGTTGTAACATATATATATATATTCAAGAGTATTATCACTAATCAACTGATTTTCAGAGCGGCTCATTACATAATATTTAAAA